AGAAAGGAACATCATCAAGGGTGATGGTACTGCAATATTGCACCATATCACATACGAGAGAAAGGAACATTAACAAGAGTGTTGAAGAATACCTGTCGGTCATCATTGTAGCTGATAATTTTACGATGCCAGCCTACTGTCAGTATCTTTTGCTTGGCTGGGAATGATATGATACCCGTGACTTCTGCTTCCTCTAAAGGAGCTAGTTTGTTCAGTAAATGTCCATTGTTAGCATTCCATACCTGAAAAGACAGAATATTCTTACAATCATACACAAACCAAGTGTCAACCCAGAAGTATATCTCCCGTAACGACATTCCTTACGTGTATTGAACCATCTCTCGCCCCAGTCATCAGCCTGCTGTCTTTTTTATCCAGATGTAAACAAGAGATTTCTTCACCTCCATGAGCCTCAGGGATTTGCAGAGCTTTACGACCTGTTGCTATATCCCAGAAACAGATAACAGAGCCCTCACAGCCCGTTATTACCTGGAAGAAGAGATTGAGAAGTTATCACAAACGTTTGCATGAAAACCCAATATAAAGTAAATGTATGTCATATAGAAAAAGCATCGATTGTATACCTGTCCAATTTTTTCATTATAAACCGCAGCACATAATGCTTTGGCGTGAGTTGTCTTGATTGCCTTAGTTATACCCAGCCCTAAAAGTTTAACTTCAATCAGGATGTCATTACTGGCAATGAGTAAAGAGTTGACCGGGCTTCCAATCAAACAGAAGGGAAACGGTCCATGCTCAGGGACTCGGTGACCAAAGGGATCCCGTATAGCAAGGCTTTGGATGCATAATTGTTCTTTGATGTCCCAACACTTTAAAATCTACAAGAAAAAAGCAAACTTAAATCAGCCTTCATATATGCTTTCCTCGATTTCCTCAATTCAATGTGCTTACTCCATCTTTATCAAAGCTGAAAACTTGTCCAAGAGCTTGGTGGATAATGAGATCGACAATAGATGATTGATGTCCTTTCATAATGGCTACTGGCTTACTGGTGACATAAGGATTCCATACTCGTACAGCGTGATCAACTCCACCAGTGACAATGACGTTTAAATCATGATTATAATCAAAGCAATCGATGCCCTATAAAATGCAGGGAGAATGTACGTTCTGATCAGTTATTAACTCAATGAATTTAAAGAAAATTATATGTCTAAAAATATATAGCTGATGATCATCATTTTCGTTGAATCAACATTTACCTTTGCTACTTTAAAGACGTAAGTTTTTCTTTTCTTATCGTCAACATCTCTAACGACTAACGAATCTCTAGCGCTTCCACTACACGATATGACAAATTCCTTGATAGATACGTACTGTACTCTACGAACCCAGTCGCTGTGTATCGCTCCAAGTGGAAGATGACTAACAAACCGCCAATGGACAGAGATATCCTGAAAAAAAGCACAATGCGGTTTGTGTAAATCTTATGTGTGCAGCAATAGCGTCAGTTAGTATGACAGCTATCTTTCATTGGTCGTGATGGCAATTCAGTAGTAATGTCCTCTTTTTCTCAGAGAAAACCTAAGTTGTCCCCAGTGGCAACCCATGCAGTGGGAACTATACATGCTTTCAATTGTGAAACGGCTTTTAGCTTGATATAGACTTGACGAGATGCAGACATTTTACCTGAAAAAATATCTTATGACTTCCAGAGTTCTTTTTAAATGGCGTCTCAAAGAGACCTTTAACAGGGGTACTAAATATAAGGACATGAACGGAACCATTGTCAGTACCAAAGAACAGCATCGAGCGGCCTGCTGGTGACTACAACAAGAATATCGATAATATTAGATTCGTGTGTTGTTTTCATCCTRAGGTAGAGTACTTCATACCTTTTTGTCATAGTAGTAGTTAAGACAGAGTGGTACATTACCAATAGCTGAAAATAAACAAGAATGAGTCTTAATAAAGCTACATCTCATTGACAACCACCGTGGCTGACAGGGTTCCCAAATCTTACCACAAAGATGGTACTGTGGTGTATAAATAGGAGTCGACATGTCGTAGAAATGCAAGTCCATGTTTGTAGTTGCAACGACGAGTTTATGTACGTTGTTCATAGTAACAGCATCAGTAACCCACATCTTGATGTGTCGTTTATTGCTCGCTTTGTCTTGCGCACTGCGTTCCTCAATCTCGATGCTGCGTTGAAGTTCCAACTCGGTACTCCACACACCAATGATGCCTTCCTGAAATGTTGATGAAAATTATAATTTGGTCGAAGACTTAACATGATGAGACCTCTTTCTCAGCTTTCAATATATCAATGCTCATAATTAAATTGGCGCGCTTTCTTGGCCAACCAGGCGTACCTTGCTGACTGTGACGTATCTCATTGGGTTGAAGTCTCTCAAGATCCTTGTAGTCGTCTCTTTATTGTGCGCAATTCTTGTGATATTCAGCTTAGGTGAAAATGATTTGCCATATTTGGTAGTGTCATCATGATCTTTAAACTGTATCATCATGTATGTACAGAACTCATCCCAGTCCACTAGACCATCTGACGCTAAGTCAACCTAACAAGTAAAACCGTTTTCTTTTGATCAGAACTGATCATGCCAGATTAAAAAACAGAAATTGGAAAAATCTGGATATTTACATAAACAAAAGTTCGATTAAATATGCCTTTAAATAGGGTTGTAATTCTGAATAAAATTTATCACAAGATGAACACTACCTTTTTGAAGAGTGTCTCCATCTCTTGCTCAAACACGACAGCTCTTTCGCTGTCCCAGCTGTCAACATTGAGCAGCTCAGCCAATGTATTACGAAACTCCTCCAATGTCATCAAACCTGTCAGGTGAGAAGAACCCACGATTGCCCGTGATCCTCTACGCGCTTTCCATGTTTTTATGGCATTTTTGTTTGACAAATGAGTTTTGAATCTGTACATAAGCTCCTCAAGGCTCTGTATGTCAAGCTGCTCATCAAGCCGGATTGGTTCTAATAGTTTACCATTGCTGGAAAAAGAAACCAGAACACCATAGTTAGCAGAGTCCTTCTACTAACTATACAGTGAGGCCTACCCTAACATAATTACAAAGTATGGGGTATATACTGGTGGATATACTGGGAAGTCTGGCTAGTAAACAAGGGTTTGTTCTAGCAGTATTGAGGATTTTTTCCTGGAAGCAATTCATTACTTCAAATTGTATCGGCGTGCAGTCTCAGGCAAACAAAGGCAGAGCAGTAATAACTTTGCAGGCTGCCATCATTTTCAGAACCTCGAAGGGTTACAACTTTTCATATAGCGAAATCTGTTTTCCTCAGAACATTTTTTAAGATTTAGCGCAATTGATTTTTCTTTTAATTAAGAATCTTGATTGATATATTGCGATATATTTCAATCACTGAATCACGATCAAGAATGATTCAAGGATACGACACTGATGAATTGCACACCTCGGTGATGTAAAGCTATATAATGAGTATAGTGGTGAAACTATTAACAACGCTACAACTGATTCAAATATACTTTCGATTTCAACGTTTTCATCTGAACAAGTGTTTAAAACGTGATTTAGGAACGATATATATAACATACTTTGTTATTTATTTGTTGTATAATTTTACGCCTTGAACAAACAAAAGTAAAGCCCTTAAAAACACCGAATATCATTTGATGTAACAAAGACAATCACTTAAGATGTGTCCATTATAAGCATATTTTATAAACTCACCGTATTCCCATGATCAATTATTGAGTAATCATAACGATTAATTGCTATCAGTTTGCTAGATCACCTCAGTACGTATGGTGGTTCACCATGTTTATCAGGAAGACTCCTTGTTCAATCTTAATTTCCTCATACAAACGTTCTCATTTTTACATTTTGTGTTATAGTGTTTTGTGTACCTAAACTAACCGAGTGCCATTTTTACCAGCTCCTACGAGTAGTTTTACCATGGCTGGAGTTGACGAAGACACTATGTCACTATGGTAATACAGTGGTTGATCACATGTGATTTGCAAGTATAATTACACGCTGAGTAAACAGCGCCAAGGGTAAAAGTATTGTTGCACTCTGGTATATGGTAACAGTGGTATGCTAACCCCACGGCTGTGTGTACATTTAATTGGTCCAGAACTGCTGATCTCTGATCCCAGCCTATTTCAACTCGTTGATTCCTTATCATAAGAAACATACCATGGATCGTGATTTCATGCTTTGTTGTGATGTCTAATCCCTTGCTTTGCAATGATACTGATCACTTAYCGACTCACTACCCACCAGTCCCAGCGCTAAAACAGCGAGCTGCGCAAATATGAAAGCAGTGAAAAATGGGTTCACATTTTATGAAATCTGGCTTTTTAGGAGCTTTTGACAATGYAGCTTATGCAGCAATGACTGAGACGGTCACGCATTTATGCAATAGAGCGGATTTCGTATGAGTGGGACACCGTCACCGCACAGTTACCGGACCTGGCCTGCACAATTTTGATGAACCAATGGGGCACTAGAATTTGTTAAAGTACGATTAAAGTCACAGTACAGTACCGTCCGTTTCCCACTCATACGAAATCCTCTCTAGAATCACTAAGTACCTACTTACCAATCGTTAGTGCTCGCAACTTCTGAGGTCGGGGTTACTAAACGTTTTTTCTAGAAAGAAACAAGCGCATATGCTGAATCGGACTTTTAAAATGGAGACAGTGTCATTGAGTAAAAGCAGATGTTATGCGGAGGGTGGTCGATTTATTGAAGTCGCTGGGTAGAGACAGTTGTTGTGTATATGGTCGTTGTAGTTGAGGCAGTYGTTGTGTTGGGGTTGTCGATAGTGATGAAAAATTCGATATCTTTTTTTACTCAGTGTAATAATTTGTCATACTTTTGCTAAATATAGAGAGCACACTGGTTACTTATAGCAACAACAACCTAGGGGTAAAGGAATTAAACACAAATATTATACTAACGGAGTAGAAAATACAATAAAACAATCAAATTGTAAGAATKTTACATGCATTTTGATAGACTTGCTAGTTATTATTCATGTACCACGGAAGACAAGTTGATTTTAATCGAATCTTAGTAACATATCACCAAAATACTCACTTGGTATTCTGGATTATCTCTTTTCTTTTTATTCTCCAAGTTAGACCAAATGGCCGGTGCCAGCATTTTAACTACCGTCTTAAACTGAAGAACTGATCGCTGTGACGTCGAAGAAGCAGCTGAATGCGTACGTAGTGACTTTCTTCGGTCGCCAYTTGTAGACGACGGGACAGGAAGAAATGACCCAAAGGACGACATAGCGTGACAGTAATGTCTGACCTTATCACCACAAAAAACACACACAAAAAAAAAAAGTTGTTGGTAAAAGTCAAACCTTTTTTTTCTTCTGTGGATATCGATATTACTACATTAGTATTAGTTAGTTTCGAGCCTATCAAGTGCATTAAAACTACCCTTATCACTTAGTATTAAACATCCGAAGCAATACTTGAAAGAGGCATAGATTTGATTAAAAAAAAAAACATAGTTTTAAACTATATATTTGTTTATCAAGTAAAATCTTCGTCTGATGAGAACATGATGTCTGAAGTAAGACATTGTTATCTACGAATGGGTGATAACACATCGACACATACTTGAGAAACGCTCTTAATAATACGAACAAAGGAAAAAGTTTGTCAAAGTCCCTTGACTTTCCAGAAATAAAGCCTAAGATTTTTATGCAAAATCAAATTCTTACCGAATCTTTTCAGACTTTGTCTGTGTCTATGATAAACTCTTCGTAATTCGCATGATTAGAATGCAATTATTATAGAATAAAATGGTCGTTCACTTCTCATCATTTTTTCATCTTCGATGGTAGAAGGTTTCAAAGTAAAATCCAATGTGTTGCTCCATTTTTCCAGTTTCTTTAGGGATAAAAAATCCAATGCTATGGCTTCGAGACTGGATTAGATGGATTACAGAAGCTTTCATGCATGCTGACTGTCTTTGTTATCACCATGGTTACTGCAGAGCCCTATCATTAAAGGTCACATGGGACAGACTTTAACAATGCCGTCAAACAATAAAGCAATTATAAGAAAGACTAAAACAGGACTAATTAGATTATCAGTGGAATACCAATAATACTCCAGTTTCGAGTTCATAACGCAAAACCGCTGCTTTATATGACAACAGATTCTCTTGCGCAAAGACCTTACAAACACAAAGAGAGCACGAGAAAATGTCGTTATTACAATAGCRCTAACTTTACATTTTCCCCGAGTTGAGACTAAACCTGTATTCCCATGAGCCMTAAGGTATGAGCCTTCTGGGAATACAGGGTTAGCCTCAACTCGGGGAAAATGTAAATTGTTAGCGCTATTGTACAAGCAACATTTTCTCSTGCTTTCTTTTGTGTTTGGTAAGCTCTTTCCATAAGAAAATCTGCTGTCAAATAAAACAGCGGTTTTTCGCTTTGAATTCGAAACTGGAGTATTTCTGGTAACGACCCCAGTACGATCGACAGTGGACGACTGTAGCATTGATTGACAGAACTGATCAGTCAAGCTCCAACAAAACCAGACTTTGTCTCCTTTCCATACCCCATCTCCAATATTGAAGCCCACTCATCCGTAGTCTCCTCTCGCAGCTGTAATGAGTCTCGGTTCCATGTGTTTGTAAATTTGTTGCAAAACGCTGTAAATAACAATAAAATAAACAACGAAAGAAAATCATTAAAGTTCTAATCATGGAATTCGCACATGTTTTTAAATATTTTCCTATCAAATCATGCACTTGTTCGATAAAAATCAATGAATCTTTGGACTAAGGCACTCTTTATTCTTTTTCCTGCGCAACACTTTTTGATTTCACAATTCATTACTTTTTATAACACGCTATTTGTACGGAAGTCAGTCTAAACCATAATTTTCTACTCTTGCCATTAAGATATCATCAACTAAGACTTCTTCTTTCGTATTCGAGTGGTCATGAAGATGAGAAATCTAAAACCTCGCGAGATTGCTTTAGGGTTACTATGGAAACTAGCGATAAACTCAGAGCTGCTTCGATGTTTCTAAAGAAAAAGCTGTGAAAATGGGATAAATTATAACACCGTAAAAAGTAACTGGATTTTTGTATTTCAGCTATAAAATATAATAAAATTTATCTGATTTCACTATTGTCCTGTAGCCAAACGGACGTGTAGATCATTTTCACGKAACGATCAATATCAGCAATTTATGTTCCATTCAAATATGTCATGTGAGAAGTTCTCATCTCATTGTTATGTGTACTTTCATTGGTAAACATAGCTGAAAGACTTTTAATCGAACATCAATCCAAAAACGTAACTCTGTTGTTCGTTTAGTAGTGCAGACGTCTCAGTTTGATCGTGATCACGTGATTTAATCATAGTTAATCTTGATGATTTCATCTTTTCATAACTCAGGTGCACATTTCAAACTAGTAAGCGTGTATTAAAGTGCTATTAACAGAAATATGAATAATTACTTATTACGGAAGCGATCTTGTTGATCATGTAGCGTTAGATTTGTTTCCATAACAGCGTTATCAATAACATTAGTGTGGATAGTGTTGTCAATCTGAAATAAACCCTTTGGAAACTACTTCATAGCTTAATGATTCACTGCGTGTTTTTTAAAAGCACTCTATATAATGAAAAAGGCTGGCTATGATTACAAAGCTCTTGTTCAGGTGGTAATTCTCATTGTGCTTGCAAATTTTTCCTTCAATTTTACAATTGCGTTCGAAATATTCGTCTTTGAACTATTAAAAAGCTGGAATGGTTGCTTTTGAATTTGTAACTACATGTTGTAAACACCTGCGAATTTGAAATTGCCTCACCCTCTTGGCTACTAAGACTTAGATAATTACTGATGAGTATCTCGATTTTTTACCCCAATAAGTTTCTATCATTTACGACTATTAATAGTTTGATTTATTTGGTTGGAGGGAAACCACAACAATCAATCATTTGTGGATTGCAACGGAAAACATATCCGCCTATCTTCAAGGAGTTAATTGATCGAGCAAATTGTTCATAAGGGTCGATGATGAGCCCATTCAGATCTGCGGTGTTCCGGTTTCATGTTATACAATTAGTAAAAAGAAGCGAGAATAGATAAGATGCTTTAGCTTGATATAGGATTCTAAATGACAGCGAGACCGCTTTAGGCTACTCATAACAGGTTTGAAGTACTGAATAATCCTCGTTTTTATTTTTTATCCCCTTTGTTGTTTTTTAACTCTTTCGGTTGCGCATCTTTTTCACCTTGGTGATATAAACTACTGTTGTTCTGAAATTATTACTTGTCTTAAAAACATATCATAGTAATACTTGTATATAGACAAAGAGCGAACAACATTAAGAACACTAATTTTTGGTAAGAAGTGTTCTCGGGTTTTTAACCTGAAGTTAATGTTTTTGTATTTTTATGATGGCTTGTCATCAACGTCATCACGTGACTTGCGTACCGGAAATGTATATACATTTTGTCGTTTTCAAGATGGATAACGTGATATCATATTATACGTTATGCGACCGAAGGTKGCAGTCGCCTCTTATTTATAAATGAACWTTCAATCATCAAAGATATTCAGCAGTGTTGTAGGCTGAATGAAGATCTTCGACGACGTATTACACTTTTTCCCACTTATTTTGTTAGTTTTATAACTTCTATTGCTGTCGTTSTCATGGTCCCAGTCCACRMGAGTCCGGTGATTTTGTATCCACAAATGCTTTTATTCGGATACAGCTAGCTTCCTCACGTTTCTGCCTTCTACGCTTGACCTATCCGTCGTGTTTCCGGAGACTTTCAGTATACGCTCTTCATAGTGGATATCTCTGTATAATATGTGTCTCCGCACATGCGGATGTGAGTTGTATGCGTGTGGCGCGGTCAACAACCAATAATGTATAATTTGCAATTACATGTCCGTCATTTCAGTTTAATTGCTTATCGCAAACATCAAAACAACACAGATTAAGTGACAACCAATTTCTTTAATTATCCCTGTCTTGATGCCTGCGGTTCCGTCCTATCAAACTTGGAACATTTTTTTTCGGTCTTATTTCATTGATTGGTTTTGAGCATGATAAGCCAATCACGTGATAGATGCTCTCAAACACTCAAAGCAGTGGATATCGCTGCATTAATTCAGGTGAGAGGTCCGTTCATGATGATTATATGATGATTCACAGCCACCCAATATATACAGTGCCAGTAAAGGCACCAAATACCATCAATCAGTAGACTGAGTAAGATACGCCGCCGCAGTGTTGCAGTCATCATAAAAAGTCTGCAAGGAAACGAAGCATTTTGAAGAGTTATAACGGTTAGAAGTTTACATTAAAGCATATCCGCATACGCATGTGCCAGTTTGTTTTATTCTTTCTTCTTTAAAGAAAATCGAAAGCAATTAGCCAAAAACGACTTTGTGATTTGCTTGATCAGTCAAATGTGATGATTGTATGAGCAGTATAAAACATTGTTTTGTAAAAAATATATATTCAATATATTGAATCCTTACCTGAACCTGATTTTACGGTAATAGGGACAATTGCGGAGCTACGCGATCAATAAATTGCCAGTAAAAACATGGATTCGTAAGTTTTGTCAAATAATTGCTTTGTCCTCGCCGTAAGAAATAGTTGGTCGTTGGTTCTTTCTGTTGATTCGAAGTAAAGTACCCACACTGATATAGCCTCCTTCGAGTTTATTCTCTATGTGGAAAGTCGAAGATAGAAAAACGTTTCTTCTACCAATTAAGAATTAGCCCAAGCTTGCTTAAATCTAAATCCCAATCCGATTTTTGTTTTAAATCCTATTGCCAGTACATTTTTCCTGGAATTGTTGGAATTTAGGTCAATTTTTCTCAAATTGTTGTCTTATGTTCGTTTGGGTGAAATTAGAATGTGCGGATTTGAAGCCCTGCAATGAATGACGGGATTTATCATTAGAATGTGGTCTTAACAAAAGCTTACACTAGTCAAACATTCATTATTTGATATTGCAACGTTAAAGGTCTTTACCTCAAAACCCACTCCATTAAACACACCCACAAAGTCACTTGATTAATTAATGTGGATTGATTTTGTTGGTTAGTGAAGGATTTTTAGCTTTATTGTTGAAATAATTAGCGTGTTATTCAAGTTTTGGTCGTGATTGACTGATTGTCAAGTACATTGTTTGTTTTGTAAGKATTTTGGTTAAATTACTCTTTAACAAAGTCTACGAGAATATAATCCTATGCATAATTCATTTCGTTTCAGGTGGGCTAAGAGGCTGTTGTACATGCGAATACTCGTCAATATATGCCAGTTGTGTTCAGTAGTCAGTAGCTGAGGAAGTTTGATCATATCGAGGTGTCGAAATGTGATGCTGACCATTTCTTGGTTACCAAACTAAACCATGTTGTATTTAAGGCTTGTTTTGTTGTGTATCTATGGTATGTTATACACCACTAAAGCACAGGACATTGTACTKGGCATTACTTTACCTTTTAACGTCGATAATACCTCARCAACACCAACTGGTGAACTATATGCACAAGCAGCTTACCTAGCTGTTGATACCGTCAACAAAGACTCGACAATTCTTGCTGGTCGAACACTGCAGATCGTACTGAACAAGAGCGATTGTCGTGTAGGTGAAGAGACTCTACAAGGCTTTACGTACCAATGGAAAACAGCAGACGTAAACGGGTTTATAGGAACAGGTTGTTCATGCGATATAACGGCAAAGCTTGCTGGTATTTTCAATCTCCCTCTTATGTCTCAAGTAAGTTGTATTAGGTCACGCGCAGCAATGTAGTGTATTTTGAATAGCAACATCCAGTGAGTTAAATGGCTTATTGGTCGTGCAACGTATTTCAATAATCTATTGATTTGGCAGAGTATTGTAAGAAGAGCTTATGAACATATATATGAGATTACGAAGAAAACAAGGATGATTTCAGGGATTTAGTCCACTTCAGCCTGGTAGGAATTTCACTAATTGCCAGAAATCATGTTTGGTCCAGTGTTCAACAAAGGTTCAGTTTATATACATTGTTCCAACACGACCTATTCTGAAATGATGAAAAACTAAGATAAGAATAGAAAGTTTCCCCTTTAAAATTAAGGTTGGTTTGTCTGTTTTAGACTCTATTATGGAGTGCATTAGCGAAAAAATAAATCAGAAATCCAGGGTCCAAAAACGCTAAACTTTGTAGTTGCGTAAGGGGCTGATTTTTGTTTAGCTTCCTAAATGATTTCATTCGAGAAAACTTCTATCCCTTAAATTAGCTTTTTGATTGGACGTAATTAAAGTAAACGTTTCATTTACAGTATGTTAACGTAAAAAATGTTTCGACTACTGAATCTGCATTGAAAAAAATATTTCTCTTGGTCCTTCTCGATCCAGACTAACACGTTTTAAAAAATGAAAAAGCGATTTGCCAAAGGAGTTTTTCTAAAATATATTATTTACTCAGTATTAAGAGTGACATTTCACAAATATTAATCTGTTCAACCCAGACAACACGTTTTCATATTTCATGCAGCCAGCTTGGATTCAGTTCAGTCATGGTCATTGTGTTTATCTGGCAACGAAAAAAGTAAATCAGTCGTGATACAAACSCTTTACTTGAAATAAATATTGTATTATCTTCCCTCGAATGTCGTTATATCAAGACTGGTCCAAACACCTGACCTAATATACAAACCACCGAATGACACTTCTACGTGTGAGACTTCCCGCCACAAGGATATATATTTGATATTTGGCATACGAAATCAGTATCAATTGACAAATGACAATTCTAGTTCAGAAAGTCAATGTTATAAATATATAGGTTTTCAAGCCCTGCGGTTTGATATGAAGCACATCGACCCTCTTGTGAGCTGGATATTAAGCCTTCTCGCAAACTTCACCACTCAAAGACGTTTTGCGTGCGCAATTAACTCATTGAAGTTCACAAGGATCGCTCAATATCAGTAAGAAAAAGTGTGTGAAAAGTTTTTGTAAAGAAMGATTGACGAACCTATCAGAATTGAAGTTTCAACTATATCTTTAATTTTCACTTCGATGATAGTTACTAATTATGCTTCGATAAACTGCCACCAATTAAATTTGTATCGTAGATACATTTGTCAGAACGCAAAGTCATCATTATCGAGGTTTTTTTTTCAATATTTTTAGATAATATTCCGGGATATGAAAGTCCGATATACAAGACTTGTTTACATTCTCCAAAMACACTGTCTTTAAAACTTCAAATTCTAGATAAGAGAAAATTTATCAAGCTTGATGCATATCTAGTTGACGATTAGTCTTGTCGGCTGCCTCCCCGTGAGATAGTAAATGATTATTGGGCATCAAATTGTCTTCAAGATATTAAGGAYCATCAAATAAAGAGAGTCAAACATTGATTTATTACAGCTTTAAAGTATTCTGCAATTTTACAATATCAGAACAGTATTCACCAGCTGATTGCGGAAAGTTACATTACAATGTTTTMATTCTTATCACAAAAAAAGCGAAAGTCGCATTCTTTTTGAAAGGAAATGAGATTCAAAGGAAAACAGTAAAAAGCAAACTAAAGTGACAGAAAATCAAGTGACATTGGTCAATAGTCGTATGGCTTTTCAAAGTCATAAAAATGATGTACTTTATTTGTTTAAGATCTGTACCGACAAGATACTGTCCGATAAAACTAAATACCCGACATTTGCAAGAACCATTCCAGCCAACAACAAACTAGCTGTGCCCGTTTTAAAACTATTAAACTTTTATAATTGGACACTAACAAGCCTTGTGGTACAAGAMAACAAAGACTGGGCTGAACGAGGAGACGAGATAAAATCTGTGCTGAACTTAAATGGCATTACAGTCACAATCACTAGACAAGCTCCGTCAGTGGTAAGCTATTACAGCAGAAGAGCTAACTTTGAGAAGATTCTTAAAGATGTCCAAGAAATAAGTCGAGGTACCAAGTCTATTGCATGCTTATTTATTTTTTCCTACACATTAACATATCCCAACACTGAGTCGACAAATATTCATACCAACTTATCTCATTAGTTGTCATTCTCGCTATGGATTATTCATTGGGACGAGAGGCCATTTACTATGCCAGAAAACTTAGTGAAACGTCCAACTTTGTATTCATCATGTTTGCCCTCGACTTAAACACTGTGATAACGAACACAGCAAAACCAAGTGGTTGGTTAGATGGTCAGTTCCCAGGCGAATCTGAAAATGCAACAAAATCATTAAAAAAAGCATTTGAGTCTGTGTTGCTGATTGCTGTAAACGCAGTAAGAACGTCTACATATGAAATATTTGTAAACAAACTCAAGAATGAAACTAAAGACCCGCCTGTCAACAGCTTGATTTACGAGGGTGCAGGACGTTCTAAAGAGGTAGGTCAATTGACTTTATTTTGATTTTTGGGTGTGTGGTTATCTGTTCAATTGGTTGGTTTGCTATATGTCTGATACATTGCTTGTTTGGATGGTTGATTTTATGGGTAGTTTTGTGGTGAGAGGAGTGGAGTTGGATTTATTAACATCGTTTTGTTGGGTGTTTTGATGTTCATATATATTTTTACAGCCTCCCGTCTTAGCTGCGTATCTTTATGACGCTGTAATGCAAATTGCTGTGGCATTCAATCAATCGTCGTCAAGTGATGGGAAGACAGTTATGAAATCTATCAAAGGGCATTCATATCAAAGTAAGATCTTAATGATATAAAAGAACGACACCACGATTGACCTGTAATTTATTTCTAGGTATTTTGGGGTACAAGCGGTACATAGATGAAAAGGGGGATGCGAGTTTTGATCTTGTTATCATGGACTTTGATGTCAACACAGGTTGGTTGTCTGCACAGAGGCATCGCGCCATATCTCTAAGCACTAATCTAAACATATCTTGATTTAAGGTAATTTCACGGAGATTGGTAAATACGAAGCTACAAGTAATGCATTGAAAATGTTCCTCTCTGCCAAGTGGCCAAGTAGTCAGGATCCGCCCAAAGATAAACCAAAATGTGGATTTTATGGTGAACATTGTCGGAAAAGTGAGTGGAAATGACTACATACTACCTYTTTTAAATTGTGTTTGAGTAGCATTTTCTAAAAATAAAAGAATTACAGTCAGCAAAATGGCCAAATGTATAGAATAAATGGCTATAAAATAAACAGAATGCCACTTGTAAAAAAGAAAAAAGAATTGYTAGTAAATATGAATTGTAATGAATGTTTCAGACAAAAACATCACGATTGGTCTGCTTCTACCATTTATGTTTGCATACGACAACAGTGACTTATTTTCGGCGGGACGATACTCAGCTTCTGGTATTACGGTCGCTCTGGACAAAATCAACGSTGACTCGACGCTACTTCCTGAATATCATATAAACCTAATATGGGCAGAAACTGAATGTAACGAAGAGAAATCGATTAGAGAAATGGCATCATTTATTGAAAAAAGAGTGGATGCATTTATTGGATTTGCTTGCAAGTGTGCAACTCAGGCACGAATTGCAGCATCACTAAACATACCAGTTATTTCTCATGTGAGTACCATTATGGTTTGTGTCTTAGTGTATTTCATTTGGTTGACAAAACAAAGGATTTTAGTTCCCATGAGCGGAAAAATCTTTTGTTCTGTCCTCCAGACGAAGTTGGTTTGACAAGTAAGGGGTCTATACCGGAACAACACAGCTGTCTGACCACTGATTGTGCGTGACAGTTCTGACTGACTGACCAACTAACTGACTGCGGGCTTGACGCCAATGACATGAAAATCTTATGATTTAGTTTCATCTTTTRCCTGCTAGATGTGTACAAATGATGAAGTTTCCAATAAAAACCTCTACCCTACATTTGCTCGTACCATRCCTGCAGACGGAGCCATCGGACCTTCCATTGTTGCAATGTTAGATTATTTCCGTTGGAATCGTGTCGGCATATACACTGAAGAAGGCGGCAAAAGCTGGTCAAAGCGAGGTGAATTTATTGACGAGTATCTGCGACAAAAGGGAAAGGAAATAAGTATTCACGAAAAATCACCTTCAGGCTCTAGTTATACACCAACCGWGCACGCAGATCGTATCAAACAATCACTGAAGAAGATGAAGCAATACGCTAGAGGTAAGCATTGGAAATTGATGATTTAGTGATCAATTCTTTCAATTTGGTCGATCTTTTCTAGTGATTATTCTGGCCATGAAGTACCCACTAGCAAGAGAGGTCGTCTACTACGCAAGTCAACTCGGCATGTTCACAGGAGAATATGCTTTCATAACTTTCGAGTTGTCTAAAAATGAGGTAGATTTGAAGATCATAGACCCTTTTAAGTGGGTTAATGGCAGATATGGTACTACAACTAACTTCACACAAGACTACAGGCGTATGCTTGAATCAGTGCTTGTAATGGCAGTCAATGTACAAGGCTCGAAAGAACTAGAAAAGTTTAATTATAAACTTAAGATCAAAGCATCGCAAGCTCCATTTTATAGTAAAGTGTACCAAGGAAATGTAACGATGCCTTGGGGGGAAGTGAGAAACTTATTCAACTTGCCGGTATGTGAACATCACATGTGCCCTTATCATACATGGYAGTCCATAACCACGTGATGTAAAGAATGACTAACGTACATTTTGTCGTCAGGTCCCCATCTACGGTGCTTACCTGTATGATGCAACTCTTCTTTACGCACTGGCCATCAACAAAACAATAAATGAGAGACAAAACTACACAGATGGTAAAACTGTCTTGAAAAAGTTATTTGGTAAAAAGTACCACAGTAAGTTTAGCTTAATTACTGACATTATCAAAAACACTCCATAACACCAATATTATCATGTATTATMCCATTGTGACATGTTCATCCCGTCTCCCATCCCGTCTCCCTCTCTCGCAGGCGAGGTTGCTTTTAACATACCTATCATACCTATACATACAATTTTAGGCATCATAGGTACTGATATGTACATGGACAAAGACGGTGACATCGAATACAACATGACGTTATGGGATTATCGAGGACAAGGTATGAAATGAATGTTGCAACGTTTATCGTTCCGTAAAATTATAAGGAAAAGACCACACAACTAAATCCACCCAAAAACCCTTTGTCTTAGGAAAAGTTCAAATGACAGAGGTTGGTATGTTTCATATCACGGAAGATTTAAACAGCACGCAAGTGTTCATATTGAATGGCAATGAGACAGTGAATTGGTATAAGGGAATGCGAGCACCACGAGATGTACCATTATGTGGCTTCAAWGGAGAATTCTGCATCGACAACAGATTTAAACTAGGTAAACGGCCCTGTCCGTGCGTACAAAACTTCTCACTCGATTCTCACCTGTGACAGTCAAGTGTAGACTATTTAGCATTATTTGGCAATCATTTATGTTGTACTTATGTATTCTCTTCAAACTCGGGGTTTGATTGGGGTTGGCTTAAGGTCCAATTAGAGTTCGACTAGAATCTGATTTGGGTGAGCATGAATGTTGGATTGGGTCGTATTAGTCTTCGACTAGAGTCAGAGTCAGATTAGGTTTGGGTTAGGACCGTGGTTAGGACTAGGATTAAGCAATTGGTTCAAGGGAATAAGAGCAGCACTAGCCAGATTTACCGGTTTTGTACATAGAAAKTGTCTCACAGGTGAAAGTGCAGTCTTGACTGGCAATCGTTCATTTCATAAAACATACATATTCACTTGAAGCTCGTTCTTTTTTGTTTAGATACCATAGAAATCGTTTGTATCGTTCTAGCTTCGTTGGTAGTTCTTCTCCTGATCATCGGCGCTGTCATTTATAGGTAATCCTTTATAGACAAAACTAATATGACAATGATTTATTGAGTATTCACTGCAAAAGTCAGGCATAAATGAGTTAAACGTGTTATTTCTTTGACAGAAAACAAAAGATAGAGAGAGAATTAGCAAGTGAATTGTGGAAAATCGACTACAAAGAAGTTGTCATTAGAACAAAACGYCAAGCTGGCTCATTCAGAAGTCAGGTGAATGAACAAATAAGCGAATTTTTATTAGATGTTTTAACATATAAATGACTGAACTTTAGCATTTTAGCAATTCAAAATGTCTTTTGTGCAGGTCAGTGTGCTGTCTAATGAAAGTTTCGACAACATCAATCAAAGACAGCTTTTTACTACAGTGGGCATGCTCAAGGTAAGCAACCGCTGGTCAGTATTCCACTGAATATCGTTTCACTCGATATTATTTACTTGTTCCTAGTCCTACACGGTCGCGATCAAGAAAGTCCATAAAAGTAGCATTGATTTGACACGTGACGTCAAGATTGAGCTTAATCAGGTACGAATTTCCCTGGCAACAGAATGAAACACTTAATTGTGGTGACTTTGCACAATGGATTAATAAAGCTAAGCGTGATGGTTGTCAGTTGCTCAGATAATTTGTTATTTCTACAGATTCGTAACACTAGACATGAGAATCTAACACCTTTTCTTGGCGTATGTGTGGATCCACCAAATATCTGTATTATCGAAATGTACTGTCCTAAAGGGAGTCTGCAGGTACTGCTAATTTGATTTCGTATACATATACACAAAAACACGCCTAATACGAAACAACTGATCATGTTTGGATTTACAGGATATTCTTGAAAATGAAGATGTAAAATTGGACAGTATGTTCATTTCATCACTTATGAATGACATCGTCAAGGTAATTAATGTTTCCATCATCCTATTGCGACATGGACGTTTTGCCTATAACCGGGATATATTTCAGATATATTTGGTACTTTTGTCCTTACTTCGCACTGTAACACTGTTCACCTGCTATTGTTGTGGTAGGGTATGGTGTTTCTACACAGTTCAGATATTAAGTCTCACGGCCGACTGAAGTCATCCAACTGTGTTGTTGATGGTCGATGGGTTTTAAAGATTACCGACTATGGTCTGACCAAATTCAAAGCCAATCAAACAGAACGAGAAGACTTGGGAGATTACGCCAGGTTTTACCGTACGTGCCTGTGTGTCCCATAATAATCTAATATCACGTAAGACGCTTGTGATCTGAATGATGCTTTAATATTTTAATCAGGAAAACTGTGGACRGCACCGGAACTTCTTCGAATGAAGAACCCTCCACCACAGGGCACACAAAAAGGCGATGTCTACAGCTTTGCTATAATTCTACAGGAAATGCTTACGAGATCGGGTCCATTTGATCTCTCTTACTATCACACAGAACCACAAGGTAATTACAAAGGAAGCGAGTTCCTGTTTCAAAATGAGCAGTGACTTCAGAGATGCAGTCTTGATTTCTCTCTCTATTTCCCATCTATTTCTCTCTCTATTTCCCATCTATTTCTCTCTCTATTTCCCATCTATTTCTCTCTCTATTTCCCATCTATTTCACTCTCTATTCTTTTTTTGGACAGTCATTTTGCAACCAGTATTTAATCAACATGGTGTTTCAAACTTTTTTCTGGGTTTCAATTAAAACGAGTTTCATATCAATATAATCTGATTATGCTGTATGCTAAATAAGGGTTGCCGGCTGGCATTACTAATCGTCCAACCAAGCAAACCATGATACAATCTCAACATCACAAATTTAAGTAAAAAGCGATCGTCTTAATTTCTTGTCTTCAGAAATAGTCACCCGGGTTATTGCGCGTGAAGATCCTCCATATCGACCAAAACTAAGCAAYGTATTGGATAGTGTTAACCTGCCTGGTATGAAGGAACTGACAGAGAAATGCTGGAACGAGATCCTGGAAATCAGACCCGATTTTGAGGAAATACGCAAAATTATCCGCAAACACTCAATGGGAAAGTAAGTGATACGAAACACCACTTTGTTTATTGCTTTTAATATATATTAACTGATCATTCATTTGTCCAGGACAACGAACATCATGGACAATATGGTGAACATGCTGGAGAAATATGCCAATAACTTGGAAAGTCTTGTGGGAGAAAGAACAGAGCAGCTGGCAGAAGAAAAGAGGAAAACTGAAAACCTTTTGCATCGTATGCTACCACCGTAAGTACCATAATGTAGCATGTCAAAAAATGATAATGCACCAATATTGAATAAATTCCTTAAATAAAACCAAACTAATTTTTGTGATTAACTATATGTGATAATGAATGGTTGAAGGTCTGTAGCACGTGACCTCGTTCAAGGGAAGTCGATAAAAGCAGAGAACTTCGAGGAAGTTTCGATATTCTTTAGTGACATTGTCGGATTCACAGCGCTCTCTTCTGAGAGTACTCCCTTCCAGGTAATCGCTTATGCAGTTTGTTCCAGACTTCTCATGTAGTCMCGACTAAAGGAGATAAACATCACATGTTTTGGTTCTGTTTTTTGTAGATTGTTGATCTTCTAAACGATCTTTATACGCTGTTTGATGACATCATCAACAATTATGACGTCTACAAGGTACTTATGCTTTCAATATCTCAATTAAGCTTATTTACTAATTTACCGATGTAAATAGGTTGAAACAAT